AACAAGGCTTGCCAATCGAAAATTCACATCTTTTATAATTTAGGTTTCGTTTATTTTTAGAAATTGTTTTTTGAAAATGTTTTACATTTTCTAAAAAGGTAAAATGTTTTTGTTATTTGGATGAATTAAAAAAATATTTTTATTGTTTGATTGTTTTTCTTGAAAATTTGTTTCTTTTTCAAATAATATTAATATAACTATTAAAATATTAAAATTTATTTATTATGAAAATTTATTGAAATTATTTATTATTAATATGCAAGAATAATTAATTATATTTTAATAGTAATATTTAATATTAAATTATTATATTAATATAAAAATACTTAAAATAAAACTATTTATTCTTCTTTATATTAATATTTTAAAATATTTAAAATAGCATTACTATTCATAAAATATTATTTTTATTAATGTTAAAATAGTAATATATATTATTAAATATTTATACTATTAAAAATTTTATATTTTATATTGAAAGTATCGATTATTACATCATAACAAAAATCTTTTTTATTTGTATTTATTATTAAAATAGTAATATAAATACCATATTAAAATATAAAATTATATATATTTTAAACTAAAAAAATAAGAAATTAATAAAAATATTCATATTAAAAAATAACATTATTATATTATTTAACATTAATTATTAAATATAAAAATACTATTATATATTTATTATTTATTATTAAAATAATAATATAATACTATTTATTATTGAAATATTAAAAATACTTATATTTAATAATATAAAAATAAAAATATTTAAAATTGAAATATCAAAAGGCTTCTAATGCTAATATTTTAATTCTTTCAATTAAAATTGAATCAAATATTTTTATTAATATAATAATATTTCAAGTTAAATCAAATCAAGTTTGAGTTTAAAATATTATATTCAAAGTTTACTTGAGTACAACTGTAAAAATATTTAAAATTGAAATATTAAAGACTTTTAATACTAATATTTTAATTTGTAAATTTAAATAAAAATATTATTTCTTAATATAATAATATTTTAGATCGGGTTAAATTAAGTTTAAGCTTAAAAAATCATGTACAAGGTTTGACTTGAGTAAAATTATGTTTAAATATATTGCTAAGTAATTTTACTCATAAATAGCTCTTTTTTAAAAATTATCTTTTTCTTTTGAAAAAAGGGAAAATAAGTTTTAGAAAAATTACCTTATTTTCTATTAACTAATCAGTTTTCTATCAAACAAACATCTAAAAATATAAAAATAATTTTTAACGAAACAAACAAAGCCTTAATATAGAGGTAAGTCAAAAACAAAGTTTGAACGTGAAAACCACTTTTAACATCCATGCTAAATTAGCCCTTACTTCAATAATTTAAAAATTAAAAAGTACATTTTTATCTTTGTGAGATTAAGGATGTTAATTTTATCCATCTCCAATGAAAAATATGATTTTTTATCCGAATAAAAATGAAAATGAGTGTTATATTATGAGTATAAAAATGAATATGATTTTAAATTTTTACTAGATATGGGGAAGGGTAGGTAATAAAGCACTTGTTCTATAACCATATGCTACATATATATTTTTATATACATTTAGTAAATAGATTTTTTATTAAATAATATAAATTATTATTTTAGATTAATTAAAATTAATATATTTTTATTGAAAAAATATACATTAATAAATATTTATAAAACATTACCTGATAAAAATAAAAAGTTAAAAAAATAAATTTTTATTTTTAATTTTTTAAAAAAACTACATGTGTGAGGTAACTTATACTCATTAAATAGTCGCGAGGATGGAGATGAGAATAGATTTGAAATACTTATTGAGTACGAGTACGTCGATGAATATAATATAAAAATCTGATGATGGAGATAAAAAATATTTTACCTTCTCTATATCTTACCCATTGATATCTCTATTTGTGATTTAATAAAAAAAAAACCACTAATCTCAACATTCTCCTCTTCCCACATTAAGAAATATTTCCTTTTACCGAATACTTGCTTGCCTCGTTTTCTTCTCTAGCCAAGTAATTAAAGATCCATTTGGATAAATGTGCGATCGATTTGTTGAGACTAAAAACTTTAGTAGAGGCGAGATTCGTTATTCTAATGGTAAGATGAAAAATTAGTAGTGAGATTTGTATTTAAATGAAAAAGTAATGGTGATGATAAAGTAAATTGTGATGCGAAGAGAAAATTTTCATTAAAAATATTATATTAAAATTTGTATATAATAAAAAATTTAAATTATTTAATATTTATAAAATTTATTGATTATATAAAATTCATCAATAAATAATCAAATTTATTAATAAATAATAACTTTGATTTAAAATATTTATTAATATATTAAATAATAAAATTTATTTATTATATTAAATTAATAAAATTATTTTAATTTTTAAATATCAAAATGAAAAAAAGTTACAGGGACATTTTTGACGTAACAATTAAATTTAAAAAATAAAAATGAAAATAAACCTACTAAACAATAACCAATTAAACCAAAAATAACTTGTTAATTATATTTTTCTAATCGTACATTATACCCATTTGGGTGAAAATTTATTGATGGTACATCTTTTGATTGCATCTGATCTGTCAAAGAAGGTGCGTTGCAATCAAACTGGGGCCAAAAAAGTTGATAGAAGAGTGTTAACATTCTTCCCTTTTCACCATATAATTGATGAATCCGTCCCCTTAAAGAGAAGAATAGCTACCCTTTTTATTTGCACATGGATGGTTTTGAAGACATTAACTAACCTTTTAAAATTACATTATGAAACATAAATATATCATATAATATCCTGTTTAATTCGCGAAGCTGATATTGCACTGCTTTGGTTGGCTTGTTTTAGTTCAGAGTTCAGATCATTCCCCTTCTCGTACAGTTGGAAGCTGTAAAGAACAATCATTTTCCTCAATTTTGATCACTAATGATTTGAACTGTACATGCCACCTCTAACTAATTTCAATTAAAAAAATTAAACTTTTTATTGTTTTGCAAGTGCATGCTTAGCTGCCTATTTAATTAATTGGCTGAGCACTCAAGACTTGCATCTCCTTAGGTAGACTGTCACTAATAAAGAAGGGAAAGCATGTGTTGGTTCAAAATCCAATAAAAACATGTTCCTTGCCGCATCATAAAACCAAGCTTTGCCTCCCTCCAGTTGAAATCAATGTCTTTTTTATTTTATTTTTAAATTATTTTAATCTTGGTGCAAATTTAGCTGATGTTAAAAAAATATTGAAAAAAAAAATTCAAAACTTAATTTAATTAATTTATATAATTATTTTTAAAAAATAATATACAATCAATTCAAATATATATATATATATATAATAACATATGAATGTTTTTATTGTTTCAGTAATCTCTAATTTAAATTAAACTATTTTAAAATTAAATTAGGGGTGGAGCAAAGATTATCTTTTCATCTATTATCTAAATATGATTCTACTGTATAATTTTATTGGTATTAAAAGTGCGAAGATCAAATTTGTTACCATATTATGATTCTATATTTGTTTTATTATTTTATTTTAATTTTATTAAATTTTATAATTATATTTTCAATTTCATTGATTTTTTGTTAAAAAAATAATAGAATCTAAATAATTCGTGATGTAAGTGATAAATTTAAGTCAATTTCTTTATTTTTTCAAAAATTAATAAAATTCAAAGTATAATAGCAAAATTCAATAAAATTAAAATATAATTATAAATTTTAACATTAATTCATAATATAATGATGAGTTTATCTAAATCTCAAAATATAAATAATGGAGAAATTAATATTTTGACTTTGTATATGGTATTCCATGTAGACTAATGGCTTTGCACCACCTCACTTTTGTTCGAGTATAATTGGTCAGAATGAAATAAGATTCATTCAATTATCTCGTGCATAACAAATTAATTATATATTTTTATATATGTGTATATTTATTTTTTAAAATTTTTTGTAAATTCACATTAAAATATTACATATCATGCAAATAATACAAATCCATGATTTGGGCATCTGGGTAATGGTCAATGTATACCAACTAATTTAGTACAGGAAAAAATTGAAATATATTTTGAAATGAATCATTCTTTGAGCTTATCTAGACCAATAATTAATACTTTAAAGATTGCTATTTTTTTAATGGATCATCAAAACAAACGAAACAGAGGTTTGATTGATCAGAAGGATGAAAACTGATGCTTATTTCAATGCACAATGAGTGCAAATACCATCACACTTTGAAGTTTTTGACCTTTGAAACTTCAAACTTGTATAGGTATTCTTTTTGCTTTAATAAAGAAAAAGAGAGAGATAGAGAGAAATTAGTTAAAAATTTGGATATTAAAATTTTTTTGAGTAATATTGAATTGATAAATTTTAAATATTTTATTTGGAAATTTAAATTTAATTTTCACTCTCAATAATTGTTTTCAATAAAATATTTATAAATTTAATATAAATATTTATTAAAATATATTATATGTCCTGATTGTGGAATGAAATAATTTTTCCTAGTTTAAATTTTGTAATCAAAGAAAAAAATTAGCGTATTTGTAATGTATTAATTAAGAAAAAATTTGTGGTAGGGTAGGCCTTGAAGGAAAAAACCAGACATACAGCATAGTTGTCAAATTAATAACGCGTTAAATGCAACATTCAAACACCCAAACAAACAAACCCACTTGGAAAGAAACAAGTCTCCTTTCCTCTTTTTGAATCCTAAATCTACTTTTTAACTGTTTCCAGTCTCTCAATTAATCTTTCTAAATAATAATAATGCTAAAAAAAATAACACCCAAGGAAATGCGAATGGAAATTGCTTTAGTTTTACAAAGTGAATGAAAATAAAGACAATCGTTTCTGTTGACTGAGCCAGAGCCGGCAAAAGCCGTCTCTGTTTTATATTTTTTTATACACGTAATATGGTATTAAGTATTATATATATATATATATATATATATATATATATATATCTTAACATGTTTTTGCCTACGCGTTTATAAAAAATCAAAGAGAGCCACAGTTTCTTTGGCGATTAATTGAAGCTCTGTCTTTTTGTTCTTTCTCTCTGTTTCTCAATTTCAATTACTTTACAAATTACAAGATACCATGAACTTGTTCCCAGTGTTTTAATCTTCAATTTCAGAAACATTTCTGGGTTTTGACTGTTACTTGGATTGGAGATATTTTCATCTGTGTCTGAGGTCCAATAATCACGTTACTTGTAGCATACTCTAATTTGGAAAAACGTGGGTCTTGAGGGGTGACTTTGAATTGTTCAAAAGGATTTAAGATAAAGCTCGGATATCTGTTGGTCGTGTAGTCCAAATTCTTCAAATTTAGCGATTTGATGGATTGGATGTAGAGAATTTTCGAATTCTTTGGCTAGTTCGGTACTATTAGTTTTTAGATGGTAAATTAAGGTTGTTAAAGGAGGTTCTTTGTTGTAGTTTAAATATAGAAACATGGGTTGCATGAGTTCCAAGTCTGCGGCTGTTGAAGATAGCCGTGAGAACCATAAAGTGAGGCTGACGCGAAAAGGGTCTTTAGATAAACTTGTTCCACGAGCTAATTTATCAAGAAGAGAGGAGGTCGTTCGATCAAATGGTAAATACGATGGTGGTGATGTGAAAGTCTTGTTGATCGATAAGAAAACAAGTGGTTCCAATCGTTTTTGTTATAATGATCAGGTTGAGAAGCAGAGGATCATTGATAAGTTTGAGGTGATTGACAAAAAAAATGTAGAAAACTGTGAGGTTACAATTGCTGGTCATCATCCTGCTTCAGGAAGGGTGCTGAATAGCATAGAAGGAGAGCAGATTGCAGCAGGGTGGCCTTCTTGGCTTGTTGCTGTGGCAGGTGAAGCTATCAAGGGATGGGTACCGCGACGGGCCAATACCTTTGAGAAGTTGGATAAAGTAGGTTCTCTTACTTTGCTTGATCCTTTGTTATATTTATTTTTTGAAGCATGATCAGTGCTCATCTTATACTGCTAAGCTAATGAACTGACTACAACTCTGGACGATGATTTTGTTCAGATAATTATGTTTTATATTTCCTCATTAGTTAGCCTAGTGGAATATTTAAACTAGTATGATTGGACAGTTTTCTGTATATTTATTATATAATTTCCCTGATTTTCAAAATACAAAGCCCTCTTCTTCAGACATGTATAGTAACTGATTTGGGATGTAAACAATTTGGAACGTTAATATGACCAGAGTACTTAGTTCCAACAAACAAAGAACTTCCTTTTTTGGTGACATAATGAACAAAGATCTATTCAGTTAGTTTGCCTTTTTTTAGGTAACCTAATCACACGTCTTTGAAGATCTCGTATTCCGTAGTAGGGTCCATGGGGATTTAGTTTGACACAGAAACTCATCCTATTATGTATCTCTATGAATTCCTTTTTCCATGTTGATATTCTCATTTTCCTTCATTTGGTTTTTGTATGATAGTATTTCATTCTTGCAGATTGGCCAAGGAACTTATAGTAGTGTGTATAAGGCACGTGACATCATTCATAATAAACTCGTGGCTCTGAAAAAAGTGCGGTTTGATAATCATGATCCTGAGAGTGTGAAGTTTATGGCAAGGGAGATTATTCTTTTACGAAGACTTGATCATCCAAATGTTATTAAACTGGAAGGCTTGATCACATCCCAAATGTCATGCAGCTTATACCTTGTTTTCGAATATATGGAACATGATCTTGTGGGACTTGCATCACTTCCCGGGATCAAGTTTTCAGAGCCTCAGGTAATCTTATAATGATTTTTATAGTTATATCAGGCCACTGTTCAACAGTCTCTCAATAGAGCAGTATCAAGATGCAACCTGGGTGGAGCAGTCACCTACACACCTTTATTTTGCAATTTGTTAGGATGTCTCTTGGGCATTTCTTTAATTTTAGTGCTTGTTTATTCATAACATTCTTTCCATTTTGGGTCAGATTAAATGCTACATGCAGCAACTTCTAAGTGGACTTGATCATTGTCACAGCCATGGTGTCCTTCATCGTGACATAAAGGGTTCAAATCTTCTCATTGACAGTAATGGAATCTTAAAGATTGCAGATTTTGGATTAGCATGCCATTTTGATCCTCATGATAGTGTTCCAATGACCAGCCGTGTAGTGACACTTTGGTATCGACCGCCTGAACTTTTGTTAGGAGCTTCTCATTACGGGGTTTCAATAGATTTATGGAGTGCTGGTTGCATACTTGGGGAACTATATTCTGGCAAACCTATTTTGCCCGGGAAAACAGAGGTACCACGTTCAAGGACCTAATTTTAATGAGTAGCTGATTTTGTTCTTTGCTACTAATGTAACTATTGTTATTATTCTAAGTGAAAATATTTGAGGAAAAAAAAGGCCGCAAGTTCTTAGCCTTAACTCAGGATTGTGATGGTAAAAAGAAATAATATGGAAATTGCTAGATGATGTAATCAAATACTAGATTTTGCCCTTGAGCAGAGAATTTTACTGAAATTTTGTGCAATGCATGCTTATATGATGTTGAAGCTTTTTTGGAGTTTGAATCTCATGTGAATAAAAGAATATTTAGATGATATCTCTCTTAGATTATGATTGTTTTCTAATAATTGGTTTGGTTTTATTAATTTGTCTTTACTTTGAACTTGATTAGAATTAACTGGTAATCTTTGGGTTTTACACCATTCTAAAGGTGCTGAAGCTGATGCTTGCAAACAAAAAGGCAGTTCAGATATGTTTTAATAAATGGTTTTGTTGCATTTTTTATTTTTTTGGGAATGAGACATGTTTTTCTAGTGTGCTTGCATACTGTTTTCCATCAAGAAGCAATATTATTTTGTAAATCCAAATTTCTCTTTTGGTGAAATTATATCCTATCCACGAGCTGATTTGAACATTTGTATAAATTCGTTTTTTTATTTTTAACACTCTCAAAGTAAGCATTCTAGTGGTAGGCTTTTTTATTATTTTATTTTATTTTATTTATTTTATATCTTTTTAGTTTTTTAATTTTTAGTAAATGGCAGGAATGACTTAAATTTTATGTTCCTTGTAGGTTGAGCAATTACATAAGATTTTTAAGCTATGTGGCTCACCATCAGATGAATACTGGAGAAGAGCAAAATTACCTCATTCAACAGTGTTCAAGCCTCTACACCCATATAAACGATGTGTTGCTGAAACATTTAAAGACTTTCCTTCTCCTGCTATAAGTCTCATGGAGACCTTGCTTTCAATAGATCCTGTTCATCGAAGAACTGCAGCTTTTGCTCTGAAGAGTGAGGTAAGCACAATATGATCAACTATCACCAGTGAATTTATATATTAAGAAGGAATACCATATGCTTTTTTTTTTTTTGTGTGTGTGCGTGTGTGTGGACTTAAATAGTGTGGAGTCGATTCGGAATCATTTTACTGATCTCCTTCTAAATACTGCAGTTAAAACATTTTTCTTTATAACATTTAAGATGGTTTTCTGGGTAGAACTAAGATGGTGCGTGTTGCAACCATGAGGATAATTCTTTAACTACATTAACTTGTTTTTAGCTGTTGTTGAGTCATCAATTCTTTCGTTTCTCATGGATAACTTAAGTTATTACTGTTCACCTGGAATTTATGGTCTTATTAGCTGTTATCAATTTTCACTGATTAACTTTCTGTCTTTTTGTCAGTTCTTTACAACGCAACCTTTTGCATGTGATCCTTCAAGTTTACCCAAATATCCTCCCAGCAAGGAGATTGATGCTAAGTTGCGGGATGAAGAAGCTAGAAGGTAAATGTTTGATTCTTATCAACTTCAAAAATCAGCATGCTGTATATTTTATTTTCGGTATAAATTGCTTGTCTGTGTTATTATCTAGTTATGTACCTATGTTGTTATCTGCTACAATTCTAGTGTTGTTAATCGCGAAAGAATGATTGAACCCTGATAGGTGGTGAAATGTACCAAAATCTCTGAAGTTGAAATTTGTGCATCATATGAACTGCACTTCCTCAATATGATGGGGCTGCTTTTGTTTGTTTCCTTACAAGTATTTGGGTTTTCTGGGCTTGTAATGGCACCTTTCTATTGTCATAATTTAGGCCAAGAAGAGGCTTACTTCCTTTTAAAAAGTCTTCTTCATAAGATTAACCTCTTCTTATATTCCCTTAGGCAAAGAGCAATTGGGAGCAGGGGTTCAAGGGTTGACATGGAAAGAAGGGGACAGAAAGAACCACTTGCAATGCCATCATCCAATTCTAATACTGAGCTGGCCACATCAATGCAGGTAAATTTTTTTGAAGAAAAAAGATCTGATGGCTGTTCATTCAAATTTCAAATGCTAGTCATAAGCAAGTAGAGGACACTGTTTCTGAATTTGCATTCTGTAGTAAAGGATTATAAATTTGAGATGTAGATTAAAAACATATCTCAAGAGTGTAAAACTTGTCTGCTGTCACTTTTGTGTTTTTCAGTAGGGAGAGGAGAAAGAAAATTGTGCTTCTCCTGTAAGTTTGTCAGCATACTCAAATGTTGTAAAGAGATTTGCAAAATGAATCTATGAGTAATCTATCTTTATGGTATTAAGTGCATATTTGTCTAGGTGGAGAAATGCAGCTTACTGAGTTACATGCCAAAAAGGGTCACAGGCAATCATCTAACATGGACAGATAATATAAATTACTGTTCTTGTGACGTGCAATTATTCACTAGATATATGCACGAACAGAATTCTTTTGGGACCAAATGTGATTGGATTTTTTTGTTCATCCTTTGCTTTCATCTGTCTTTATATTGTTGTAATTTTTTTTTTCTTGTTCTCATTCTTCAAAATGTGCCACTTTACACCGTAGCACCATAGAACTGTTTTTATATGCAACACCTACAGATTAGCATGTTTCCTATTTTCTTCCTTCATTGCCTTTGCATCTTGCTTCTCTATACCTAACCATATTCAATTGTCCCTCCTCAAATTACAGAGAAGACAGCCTCATCCTAATTTGAAGAGCAGGAGTCAGATGTTCAACTCTCGTAAAGCGGATGGCTTTTCTGGTTTTTTGATTGATCCCCCTAAACAGACACCTGCTGCAAAAGAAGAAAGTAGAGATGCCTTAGAGTACAATAGAAAGAAAATTTCACATTCAGGTCCATTGGTCCATGGCACTGTATCTGGGAAGTCTGGGAAGGAACATGATGATCTTACTGTGGTCTCATCCAGGGCTAACTTATCGAAAATTTCTGCTTTAGTAGCAACTAGAACTTTGGCTTCTGAAGATCGCAGAGACGAACCTGGACCTTTGACTTTAGAAGCAGTAAACCAAGCTGGCAGGTCTCGCAGATCCTTTAATGAATTAGAGTCTGCAGGAAAACAGGATGTCAGACACCATATGCCAAAGACTGCAGAATCCCCGCAGGCAGGAGGTGGAAGAGCCTGCATTAAGGAATCAAGTCTGGTTAGTTTCTTGACATTATTTTTTACTTTAAATAGAGGTCAAAGTAATCATCTATTCTAATACCTGCATTCTTATGAATACTATTCTCCAGCATGGTCGTGGTCCGAGGGGAAACAAAATTTATGTCTCTGGTCCATTACTTGCATCTGACAATGTTGATCAGATGCTTAAAGAGCATGACCGTAAGATCCAAGAATTTGCTCGAAGAGCAAGACTCGACAAGACAAAAATTGGGAAACTAAAAGCTCAAGGGAAGCAAGTGACAGAAAATTCATTGTATGTCTCTGCTCGCGGAGCTGGATAGATGTTTTATCCATTTTTCTATCCTCTGTTGAAGCTGGAAAAATCAGCTAACCTGATACCCAGAGAGATAATTAGTGTACAAGATCTATTATGTATGGTTAGTCCATCATTTAATCTCTCCTTTGATTTGATAAGGTATAAACGTGCCTTTAGTAGGATATAATTCTCTGGCTTTCTAGTTGATTAGTACTTCTTATACATCAATAATAGAATCAATTAGAAGCATTACAAGAACCCAGAGTTTAACTTACTTAGTTCATGTAATCAGCAAGTCTGAAATTTAAATTTAAACACTTGCAACTCTTTTTATCTCTAAGTTATAATTTTCAACATATCAAAAATTAAAAGCATTACAATTTTGAAACTATTCTTGTTATAGTCTCATTTCATAGAATTATAATATTAAAAAATGATGTGAAAGTGGATAAAAAATAAATATGATAATTTTAAAAATAATATATAAAAAGACACAAATGATACAATTTAAACTTTTAATAATAATCATATATATGTTTGACAAAAAACAAAAAAATAAATTTGTATTTTGTGTATAAATACAAATTATAATATATTAATTTTTGTTATACATATTAAATACAAAATATTAAATATAAAATAAATAAATACAAATATAGAAATTATCATGTCTAACAAAAATTTGTTATCTGGCCCACCAGGTCAGTTACCTACTCCCATGTGTGAATTTGGCTCGGTTTCATACTTGTACCTTATCATTGTCAAATCTTACCCAAGCTAGGAAATGGTCCAAACATGAGATGTAAAACGATCCCCATTAAAGCAGCTTAATAACCCAAGATGGTACATGCTAATGGAATATTACAAACACCCTGGCATATTGCAAGAGTTTGACAGTTTGAAATTACGATTTGTTGAGGAGTAAATGCTGATCAATAAGTAGGTGGAATTTGTTTTCTGATTACTTCTAGAATTATGACGTGTATATCACCAAAGTTGGCATTCATTTTAGATAGTGAATCACAAATATCACCTCCACTAGAATAGGAAAAATGTTTTCGAGTAAGAAAGGCTAAGAAAAGGGTCTCTCTCTGTTCTGTTGAGTGCAATCTTTGATCATACAATTTGCAGATTGCATAATATAAACTTTGGGAACCTTGAGTTTTAATTCGTGATGTATTTACTCAGGAATCAGGTATCCCAATTCCCACCCAAGAAAATAATTCTTACAAGTCAAACTCAACCATGGGCACATTGACAAATTCTACTGAATCTAAAGGCATGCTTGCCCTTAAATTTTTGTTCAAAAAGGGGAAAGTCTATTTCTACTCGCTATCCAATAGATACGGGGTGAAAAGGAATGGGAAAGCCCATTAAAAGAGAGCCCAAGAAAAGTTTGAAAATTCAAAAGCGTGGAATGCAGAGTAATTAAATAATTTCACATCAATTTATTTCTGATATATCAACAATTAAAATTAGGCGAAAAAGGAGAGAAGAGAAACCTAGAACTATGGGTTTTGTAAGAGAAGTTTAACTAGTCTTGTCCAATGCAAGACTCTCAGTCTCAGTTTTGGGGATGACAGTAACGTTTCTTGAGAAACCAGTGGCATGGTGTTATAGTATTTTGTTGGTTGGGTTACTGATGGCAAAAGAGTTGGAGAACATATGGAGGAAAGTTCACGCTTACAGAAGAAGAAAACTAAAGTAATGAAATAGAGGGGTTGCCAGATGCTACAAATCTTTAGATTTTGAGAGGAAAAATGATTTTTAGAAAAGTGCAGATTTTTGGAAGAGATAATTCTTTATGCCATAGAATTATTAGATTTCAGCATTTGATTAAGAGAAAATTAAATTATTTAATCAAGTGTTTTTACTATAATGTATTTCACTACTTAACAAACACAACATATTTATTAAATATAAACACAATATTTGACCAAAATAATATAAAATCAAATATCGATAAAAGCAAAGTAATATTTAATTAAATAATCCACAAAAATTATAATTATTGCATTTCAAATCTTAAAAATACAATATCCAAATAAAAAATTATAAAAAAAAAATCAATTACTACATTTAGCTTCTAAAAAACGTAATAAATAGTTTATAATTATTATATTTTAAGTCTAAAAACACAATATTCAAGTGAAAAATAAAAAAAAAAGTCAAAATCTCATACCACGTTTAGTTTCCAATATCACAAGAAAAAAAAAAAGAGAAGGATTGCCGTTGAAAAACTTTAGTTGAGAGAACTCTCAAGCTCTCGAGCCTCAACTTTATTACTATGATTGCAACCATGATTGGTTTAAATTTTTTTACATTAAAAATACAAATGAATTGATGACAAAATTTATTTAACTTGATTTATTTCTGATTGACTTTTTTTGAATAACGTTAAAGCCAGCAGCTGCCATGCCATTGTTTCAGTCAATAGCGTTTCTATTCAAATATTGCGTTTTTATTCAAAGAAACATACTAAATAATCATATTTATTATGTTTCAAAGTCTTTGAATGCATTATTCGAGTAAAAAGATATAAAAAAATATATTTAAATATTATATTTTATTCATAAAAAATATCATCGTTATATTAAAAATATTACAAAAAAAAAGTTAATTCACAATTACTACATTTGGTTATCTAAAAACATCGTATTTGACATTAAAAAATTAATACACACTACGTCAAAGCTTTCAACAAACGTAGTATGTGTGTTATTTGTTTTTAATATTATGTTTGTAAATAAAAAATCAAAATTAAATTTTTTTTCTATACGTTGATTTTTAAAAAAATAAAATAATTTTTTTTTTATTCATGTCAAATGTAGGACAAAAATAACTTTTCTCTCATAATTTTAAAAAAACCATAAATAAATGTGAAATTTTGATTTTGTGACTTTTAAGTATTGTTGAAAATCTAAGATTACCCAGGAATTAGATACCTGTAAATCAAATGTGAAAATCACATTCTTATAAACAAGATCTCAAAAAAAAAAATCTCAAATTCCACTAAACTAAATACCCCTTTAGAGGAAAATTGGCTGCTAGGAAAACTATTAACAACAACCAGTGGCGGATCCAAGATTTTAAGTTAGGGGGCTAAACTAAATAACAATTGTAATTTAAAAATTTTCACTTATCATATAATATGTTATTATTTTATCAAAAGTTACAAAAGTTTTAGATAAAATATGGCATTCCATAATGTAACCATAAATAAGATAAGTAAAAATTTCAATTAATGAAATAAAAAAATATAACTATTAAGAATAAAATAAAACTAAAATAATTTTATTTAAAAGTGTGCATGGCGATCTTTCATAAAAAAAAAAAAAAAACATTAGAATCGAAAGCTTTTGCAAATTTTTTGGTTAGGTGCGATTAGCCACCTACTAAAACATATCATTTTAATAAAGTTTTAAAATTAATTAAAATTTATTAAAAAGATAATTTTACGGTCTGCGAAACAGTTTGAGTTCGAGAGTTGGTTACGCGTGAGGAAGGATTAGTACCCCCACAATGCCCGTTAAAAATAGTACCAATTAACATCGTGTTATCCTTTGATTTTGATAAAAATAGTCCAATTTTCGGTGTTCGAAAAATAATTTTCTTGATTTTTTATTTATTAGAAAAAAAATTTTATTCTCAAGAAAAATAAATTAAAACTTTTTTATTGAAATAATTGTTAAAATGTTTCAGTACGTTGGTAATATTAGAAGAATTTTTTTCTCACCTAGAGTTTCTTAGGCATCGCTTCTCGGAATACTTTAGAATCTCATCATCGGAGGCTCGAATTTATTTTTCGTAAAAAAATGTTATGCATGCAATGCAAAATGTTACCATGTTTATGCACACATTTTATTCTCTTTTGTTAGAAAATTTATTAACTATTTTATTAATATTCTTATTTAAAATTTTGAAGAAAAATGAAAGTTTCATTATATTAAAGATTTTCTATAAATATTCCAATACACTGGTAATATTTTACGAAAAAAATCTTCTTACCTAAAGATTTCTTAAAGCATCTCTACTCGGAATACTTTTAAAATCCCATCATCGGATAAAATTTCTTTTCTTCTCATTTTTATCACTTATATTTTGAATATATTAATCAATTTTTATTTATTATTTTTTTAAAAAAAATTTTACTGTATTGAAAATTTTTCTATAAATACTCTAATACATTGATAGTATTTTAAAAAAAATTTTCTCACTTAGAGATTTCGTAGGCATCACTACTCGGAATACCTTTGAATTTCATCATCGGATAAAAATTTTCTTTTCCTACATTTTTTTATTAGTTTAGTATTATTATTAAATTTATTTTCATATTATTTTGTTTTTTAAAGTTTATAAAAAAATTTAACCACATATTTCATCATTTAATCTAACAAATAAAAATATTTTAATATGCATAAATATTAATAAAATAATATGTAAAAAATAAGAAAAATTCAAAAAAAAAATTTTTTTTACCTAAACCGGATCGGTCAATAGTCCGGTTAACACACGGTTTGGTTCAACGGTTCAGCTCGGTCTGGGTGACTCAACAGTTCAATACCAGTTCAGTTCGGTCTGGGAGGTTCGGTTCCGGTCCAATCAGACCTGTTGGAGGCTGATGGAGAAGTAGTTGTCGGGTCAGGTGCGCGGATCCCAGGTCAAGTCACGAGTCGATGCGCGGATCCTCAGAGGCTAAAACAACATTTTTTTTTACCTTTAATGAAACGACGTCATTTTGGTTATGACGATTTATATAAAATAGCAGGAAAAAAAATATTTTAGCCATTATTTCCTCATTTGAAAAAAAATGCCCTATTTTCTCTGTTTTTTTTCAGGCCGACCTGGGGTCGGTGGCCGTCTGTCGTGACGACCACCGTAATCCTTGCCAACGACGAGCTCTGATTGTCATCGACGATGTCGAAAAATTCCAAAAAACTCTCACAAACTCCTCTCAACCCCCTGAACACAGATATGACATTCTTTTCACCAAAAAGAGTTTCAAAATCTCTAGATCTGTTGTGAAGTTTCGATGAAACTATATATATTTTTTATATTCTGACTCTTTTTTTTTTTAAACTGACTTTTGTTTTTCTTTTTCGTGCAAGAAGCTTGGCGTTGGGTTCCTTCCTACGGGGAAGACTACTTGATTTTGTTTTTATTTTTATTTTTTGGTAGAATCTCCCTCTATTTTTTCTCTGTCTATGTTTGGTTTGGCTAAGAGCTCTATTTATAAAGCTCCGACCGTGTGTGTGCTTGAGGAAAGGGCATAGAGCTCGGCATGAGGTGTAAGCACGAGCCCTATGCCTTTTTTATTCGTTTCTATCTTAGTTGACAATTTGTCAACGGAATGAGTAATTGAGGGGTGAAAGGTAAGGTATAGTGATCAGAAGGGTAGGGTGTAGG